TTTATGACTTCTGAACAAGCAGACAAAAAATCACTGCATTCAGGAATTAGTTTTGCTTCATGTTTTGCTATGCTCTAAACAAAACCAGCTTTTCATTAACTAGTAAATAAATATGACTAATAGATTCAAAACTATTCAGCCCTCACCTGGCTGTAATATCTTGGCTTTTTCCAAGCCTGGGATGGATTTGATCACCTGCTCCTGTAGCTCAGGTGGCAGTGTCATGGACATGCCCTGGGGGTAAATGACATTGGAATCCAAGCCTTCTGGCTCCAGCCACACCTGATGTTCTCGGTCTGGGAAGCGCAGAACCTTTGATTCAAGAGAGGGACAGTACCTGTAACAGTAAACAGCCATGAGCAGCACCCGACATGGAGAAAAAGTTACTTTCCAGAAGTGAAGCAGGAGAGACCCACAGCTCCAAAGAGACTTCCAGCCTGTCCCCTTGACAGCCTTGCATGATGCCCCACACTCACCGTGGGCCCCTGGTTGTCTCCCTGACGTGGTTGTTCAGGTGCAGGTTATCGCGGATAATTTGCTGGGCCTTCAGGTTCGTGCGAGTCAGGTAACAGGACAGCTGATCTTCCGGCTGGAACACGCCAAAGCTCGGCCTAAGTTAACCTGGCCATGACACCGTATCCTCACTCAATAACTCTGTAAGTATCCTTACTCAATAGACCTTTCCCATGATGGCTGGCTCTCTCTTCTGGGAGAGGTCAGCAGGGCTGTCCCAATACCCACTGGACAGACTGAACATGAGCGATCTGAGAGCCTGAGCAACGTGCCCAAGACCAGACCAAGAACAGGATGGAATCCGGGAGTCTGGAATTTAAGTTCTATCCTATATGCCATATTCCTAACTACAGGACGGATATTCCCATTAAATCAACATGTTACATCAGAGCATTCAAACTGATCACAGGGAAAGAAACCTCTGGAGTCAGAAGAATAAGTGCTGACCCTACAGCTAACAGCCAATTAATGGGTGAAGAAAAAAACTAGTGAAGAAAAAAAATTATCTCGAAGAGGAAAAAACCACAAAACTCTGCAATTAACATGAAAAATTCAAAGTTTGGAAAAAAACCTCACCATGTGAAGTAAAGTATTTCACTGATATTTCTGAAAAAGAGTCAACAGACTCACATTCAAAACTGTGACAATGTAGCACCATAACTCTTTAACACTGCCACTGAATTATATATTACTTAGAACAAAAGTCTTGTGATTTTATGTGGTTTTGATTTAGATCTGTGTTGGCTGAGTGTCAGTACAAAACCCTGAGAAATCATCTCGCTGCACTTGCAGAAAGGAACTCCATGGACCCATAACCCACAGAAAACTTAATCAACAGTTGAAAACCAAAATTCAATAAAGAATTGGTCAATGGTTGTCATATAACTTGAGATGAACTAGATACCAAAGACAAGAAAGCTGTCTTGAAAAAGTGAATACATTGCAGGTGTGGTAAGTGAACCACTTCATAGGCCTGTACACTCCAGAAACTTAATCAATAGTAATTGTCTAACCAGGACAGCAAATTTAATAAAGTACTGTTTAGCTGGATAAAACCTGGGTTATTCATTAAACAAAGACATGAGATGCTCTAGTAGTAATAAAAGAAACAGAACACCTATATCATGATGCAATAAATTGGCCAGACTTCTGGGAGCATCTATAAAAAATCCTGCATGTTACAGCATATATAAATGTCTGAAAATTGTTGCTTCTTTCAACATGTTTACGGAGAATAAATTCCTGATATGCTCTCAATTTTGACCCAAAATTGTTATTAGGAATGTTTGTCTAACAACTTTTTGCTGTTAGATTTAAAACACTTTGTATGAAAACCTCTCCTACATATACCAAGGCCTTCACCTGATACTACTTTTGCCCCATCCTGATTGTAAAAGGTTATTGCAATTCCTATAACTTCCAGGGCAAATTAACTCCTGATACTTAGCTCTGTGCTGTTTAATTACATTACACAAAACCAGCCAATGTTCCAAGATTTTCTTCAGAAAATTGAACCTCTTCTGCTTTTAAGTTACTGTTAACCGGCCACCTCTCAGCTCTGTGGATAAATCCATCCTTTCTTAGTCAATACTACAAATTATCTCTAATTTCAACATTTTTAACCTTATTCCAGAGCTAAGATAAGAAGCCAGACACTGTAAATCTCCACAATACAGGCATAATACTGGAATATTTTGTAAAACCAGCACATGAAGAATACTAGCAGCAGTATCACATTTCACAAAACTCTTGACTCCACAGGTAAAGAATGTTCAGTTCTCAAGTGGAGAAGTGAGAGTGAGAAGGTATTTGCTTTCAAAAGAACACAAGTAACTTCCATCTCACATTGAGAGTCCTCAAAAACGAAACACCTCCAGTACAAACACATCCCAGCTGCCTTTCCCAGCCCTGACGCCCTGGCTGATGATGAGCACGGCATTCCCAGAACCACTTCCCACCCGGCTCCACGTGCACCTGATGGGTGGGATGTGCTACCCCACCTTGATCCACACGGCCTCGCTGAGGAAGCTGAAGGGCACTGGAGGGTTGTCAGCCGCACGTTCCTCCAGACCAGCGAAGTCAATCGTATCCTTGGCCAGCCGGGGCGGTGTCCCAGTCTTCAGCCTGCCCACAGCAAAGCCCAGCCTCTCCAGAGTGCGGGCCAGCCCGATGGCTGGCTGGTCCCCCAGCCGCCCCGCCGGGTGCGTCTCCAGGCCGATGTGGATCTCACCCCTCAGAAACGTACCGGTGGTCAGGATAACACTCCCGGCACGGACGGTGCTCCCATCCCCTGGAACAGCACGTTTTCAGAGACGTGCACAGTTTAGTAGCAACAAAGCCCTGGAATTCTGGTGCTTCTGTCTAAAGGGAGAACTGGAAACTACCAGTGCTCACTGGGGGTTTATTTGTCTTTATTATAAAATAATACCAGCTTCTCCATAATAAAAGCATCAATAGTAATAACTACAATAAACAGCATGTAATTATTTCTGTATATTTTTTATTAACTAAGCAAGTTATTCCTAAAAAATAAAACCACTCCTGAGAAAACCCCATATCCAGGCCTTTACTTCGGAAAGCTTGTTTATTATAACAGCAAGGGGTAATGAATTACACGCCTGTTATTAAGAGGACCCCACGGTCCTGTAACACTGAGGGCAGCATACACCATTTACCAAATAAAACCTCATAACACAGCATGGAATTCAGTATCACTAGCCTGAAGAAAATTAACTTAGTTCATGTCCCAGTATACTACTAATCCAGGTATTTTTGACATTGTATTACTTTGTATTACACATATTAACCTGGTTTATTTCACTTTACCTAAACCAGCTCTGTTGGCTAATTAATCTTTCTCTCTAATGAATCAGAATAGGATAAATTCATCTTTCTCATCAGTGAATCAGAAATATTTACCCCAAAGGCTTGTTCTTAGTGTGGAGTAACTGAAGGCACTTAGTGAGTTACCAGCACATACCCAGAACAACTCCTGTGACTTGGCACTTCCCGGGACGGCCTGGTTCTGGCTCAGTCAAGAGAAGATCCTCCACAGACGCCTCACGAACTGTCAACAGTGGTGTGTTAAGGATTTCTTTCTGTCATGAAAGGAGTTACTGCAAAAATCTAGGAAGTTATGAGACATATGGGCAATCCCAAACCCTGCTGATTTCTGAAATGTCTATTACCCACTTCCATTCTTACCAGGTCATTTGGCAGACACTCAGTTATGGTACTATCCTGATTTATCAGGTAGAAGTTTTCACTCACGTAAAGTTTAAGCTCAAATAAACTAACTGGTCATCAAGCCTCACCTGTATCTAAAACACTAGAGAATTTTTCAAACTGCGCTGAACTCCAACAACTTACACTGCATCCAACTACCAAACAGAAAAGTATCTAGGTTTGATCGGTAAATAATGAAAAACAAAACATTGCCCCTTTCTTCGTAATCCTCAGGGGTGCATCCCGCCTCAGAACACCCGGGAGCCGGCCCCTCACCTGCATGTTCTCCTTGTAGAGGCCGCGGTCGATCTGGGCGCGGAGGCCCCACACGGCCGGGCCCTTGCAGCGGTTCAGCACCTTGTAGTGAACGCCGGAGCGGTCGCACACGCGGCCGCACAGCCCGTCCAGTGCGTCCACCTCCCGCATGAGGTGCCCCTTCCCGATGCCGCCGAAGGACGGGTTGCAGGACATTTCCCCTGGGTAATGACACAGGGACACCCTCAGCACCGCGCAAAGGCCCCCGCGACCTCCCCGGCTCAGCGCCGCTCCCCACGCCGGAGACCCGAGGCGCCCGCGGTAGCTTCCCCCGCCCTCCCCGGGCACCCGCGGCGGTACCGATGGTGCCGATCCTGTGCGTGAGCAGCAGCGTGCAGGCGCCGCCGCGAGCGGCCGCCGCCGCCGCCTCCGTGCCCGCATGGCCCCCGCCGATCACCACCACCTCGTAGCGCGGCGCTGCCGCCGCCCCGACCTCGCTGCCCGCCCGGCGGTGCCCGGGGCGAGGCGCCGGGGGCAGCGGCAGGCGGCGGCAACCGCTCCGCAGGAACATGGCGGCTGGGCCGGGAGCGCCGCCGCGGCTCCTCCGGCCCGGAGCGAGAGGCGGGGCCTGCGGGAGCGGCGGCCCGGGCGCCTCCCCGCGGCCGCCCGTCCCGGCTCCCGTGCGGCTGGAAAAGCCGGGCGGTGCCGGTGCTCACGTGTCCTCGCCCCGCGGGCGGGCGGGCAGGCGGAGCCGCCCAGGAGCGGGAAAACGCTCCCGTCGGATTGGAGGCCGACCGCAGCCTCACTGTTGCTGCCGGAGCTAGCCTGTGCCCGGGCTGAAGTTGGCGCGCCGGGCTACGTCTTGCCTCCGCCCCGCTCGGCGGGTTTCGTTTCCTAGGGGAGGCGCGCTTCTTGGAAGAGGAACTCGCCCGAAGCCAGAGGCGGGAACCCCGTTGCTCGCGGGGCCGCGCTCGCCGTGTTGCCGGTGCGGAGAGGGAGCAGCGGCCATGGACGCCGCGGGTGGCAGAGGGGCGCGGGCCAGGCGGGGGACGCGTTCCACAGCTCCGCGGAGCCGGGGCAGGCAGAAGGGCGTAGCCCGAAGCCCCTCGCGGGGCCGCGTCGCGGGTGAAGGCTCGAGCGCCATCGCGACCCTCCGGACACCGCGCACGGACGGAGCCCCGGCCCGGGGCGGCCGCTCGGCGCGGCGAGCCCCCGCTGCCCGGGAGCCGCCAGCGGGCGGGGCGGCGGGAGGCGCAGAGGCGCCCCCCGCCCCGCGGAGCAGGGCACCGGCCGCCAGAGTCCCCGCGGCCCCGGGGAGCGACGCGGCGGTGCCCGACGGGGCGGTCGCTGCCGCCGGCCGTCGCCCCCCGCCGGCGGCAGACGCCTTGCGGCTCCGGGAGGTGCTGTCGCGGCTCAGCCTGCTCCGCGAAGACGTGTCCGAGGCTTCGACACTGGTGAACACGGTGGTCCGGCACCTGGGCCAGGCCATCCGCGACAGGGAGAGCTGCTTCAGCTCCATGGAGCAGCAGAGCGCCGGCAGCTACTACGAGCGCGTCAAGGTGGGTGCCGGGGCGGAGGCAGCGCTCTCCCGCCGGGCGGCGGCGGCAGGTGGCGGGCGGGAACGCGGGCCGGCCGCGGAGGGCCGCTCTTAGCTGGCATCTCCCGCCGAGTAAGGCTCTGTGGATGTAACTGCATCTCTAAGGATAGCTCTGTGAAGTAATCACACTGCATTACAAAATGATCAGTAACCTGCTGAATGGTGCTACGTGCACTGAGTCAGAAACGCTACCTGAACGGTTCAGGCTGCAGCAAGCCTTGCCCTCGCACAGCACGCAGGTGAGCTCGGCATAGCAACACATTCTGTCAGGAATAGCACTGCACGAGAAGCCCTGGGCCAGGTTTTAGTTCATAGTTTTTTCAAAAATCAGGAGTTATGGATAGAAATTGAAAGAAGAAAAATTTAGATTAGATATTAGAAAGAATTTTTTTACTGTGAAGGTGGTGGGACAGTGGTACAGAGTGTCTGAGGCGATTGTGGATGCTCCAAACCTGGTAGTGTTGAAGGCCAGGTTGGGTAAGGTCTTGAGCAACCTGGTCTAGTTGAAGGTATCCCTGCCCAGGGCAGGATGAGTCAGGACTAGCTTTATCTCTAAGGTCCATTCCAACCCCTTCACCTTCTGTGATTAACCAGTACCTTTTTTCTGTCTAAAACTAGCTTCAGACCTAGCAGTGCATTTTTTTCCTCACATCCAAAGTGCAAGAGGATGTCTGAGCATACTTATACATTAATTATTTAGAACAGCTTAAGAATCTTAAAACAATCTTAAAAATTAATAAGTTGGAGAGCTGGGAAGTGAGCTGCAAATTGCTATTTTCCACCCCAATGCACAGTAATCTTGCAATACCACAGAAATAAGCTCATATTTCACATCAGACACCAAGGTAGATGAAACCACAACTGGTATAAAAATCTCAGGAGAATAAAACCTAAGTTGCACATTGTCTGTTCTATTCTTACATTTGCAGATATCTGAACCAAATGAGTTTGACATCATGCTTGTAATCCCTATAAAACAGAATGCAAATGATTCTACAAGGCTTCAGCTGGATGAGTCTGATGATACTGGAGCCTTTTATTATGTATCATTCAAAAGGGGTCCAATAGAAAGGGGTTGGTTGAAGTTCTTAGAGGAAGATGGAAAATTATCAGCCTCTAAAATGATTCAAGCACTAAGAGACATTATTAAACAGGAAGTAAGAAACATTAGAGGTGAGTACTGAGAGAACAAACTTCATCAGGAAGTGGTAAAAACGCAGTTACATTGTACATATGTGTTGCCCCAGTATTAAAAACACATTTTCCTGCCAGTCTCTTTGTGCCAATGGAGCTGTAACCCCTCCTGTCCCCAGTATCTCAAGCTGGCTCTTGTGTTAATAATCACAAAAACACATAGGTAACTTGTTACATTATTAACTCCACTATGCATATTTTCTGTATGAAAATAATAAACATTAAGAGATGCATGCTTGCTATTTCCTACATAACCTATACATCTTGTATCTATCTGGAGTATACAAAGAGCCATTTGCTGAAGTAGTAGCAAAACAAGGAGCTTTCTTTTATACAGCACCTGTATTTTCTTTTATACAGTACCTAGTATTTTTTATGGATCAGTACAGAAACTGCATCCCAGTTATTTTTAAAATTATTTTAAATATATTATATATATTTATATAATTATATTAAAATAACCCCAGTTAGGGTTATTTTTTTCCCCAAACCTTCAGAAATATTGTGGCCAGATATCCTCACTGTGTGTCTTCAACAGGGAAGCAATTGAATGAAAAACATTATTATATTTTTAATTCTTAGACAGTAAATCAAGTAAACACAGTAGTCTTCCCTGTTTCATAGAACTGTTCAGTAGACCTTCTCAATGTTTCAACATCCTGTAGGATAAAGAACCATTGACTGAACCCAGGTATTTCTTTTGATTGCTTATGAGCTCTTTAGTAAAAACCGTAACATTCTTAAAAAACAGTTTTCATCTTACTAATCTAGCTATCTGTCCATCTAACATGAAATATCACTTTCTTTGTTACTAGGTATGGAAGTCACTGTGGCAAGGAAAAAGGCTGGAAGCCCTGCAATAACTCTTCAGATCAAAAAACCTCCATTTGAAATATCAGTGGACATCATCTTGACTTTGAAGGTTCAGCAGAGCTGGCCCCCCAGCACACAGGCTGGCCTTAAAATTGAACAGTGGCTGGGAACAAAAAAGAGGAGGGATTTCAGATTAACATCAATTTATTTAGTAGCCAAACAAAACAAAAGAGAAAAAGTTCTAAGAGGTACCTCAAATATGGATAACAGTAAGTTATGAAATGTCTTCTCTACAACTTGATCACTTACAAGTGCTATAGAAAGGGTATCCAGATCATGTTCAGTATTCCATCTTCGAGACACCTCATCCTGGATATTTCCAGCTCAGACAACTGAAATCCCTCTTTAGAGCAGCAGATTTGTGGTACTGCTTGTCCTGTACTGAAATGTAAATACAAGCCCACTCTGCCAGGCTGCACACTAACCATTACTAAGAGCATTATATTAAATGCACTCCAGCCAGACACATGGATATGAGCCTTCCCTTGTGCAGGTACTATGCTTAACAGCAGCTTGCGCTCTCTTGTAAGGAAATTAGAAGAAAGTGGCTAAAAATGCAGGGAACTTCCCCATACATGAGATTGCATCCACAAATCAGATACTTCTGCAGGAAGCAAACTGTTTTCTATCAAGATACATTGTTTCTCACTGAACTCTGGTATGGCTACATTTTTTCCTCCAGACCACTGTCACATTGAGCCTCCTTTAGTTTGCAGAAACATTCTGACTTGTGCGTTATGGTAACTGATCCTTTCAGCGAAAGATTTCAAGCATTCTGGTACCATTTTAATTAGCATGGCCATGTTATCAAAGCCCAGTACAGAAGTACTGATTTATTTGGCAATTTCTTCCTGTGCAAATTAAATGCAAAGAGTAACTGAGCCAAACAAGCAATGCAAACTGTAATTCATGAAAAGAAGACAAAAGTGATTGTCGGTATTAGAAACAGGGCATTGAGCTATATTAGCAATTTTTCAGAAGCATGAGCAGAAGAACAAAAATGCTTTAGAACAGTCATCTTACATGAGACAAGCTCACAAACCTATTACGTGCACAAAGAAAACAAAACAGCAGAAATTAAAAGGCTGTAGATTTCTGTGAATAATGCAGTTCTCTAAATCATGTTCAGCAAATCCAGGGACATTCAGAACTAAGCCTAATTTTAAAGTAAATCCAAACATTCGTAGGAATTTAAAGCATCCAAACTATTATGTCCTATATTAATTACATTCCAATTGTGTTTGTGAAGCAGCTGGAGAGTTAAGGAGGAACTAACTGCACTCACTGAATTATGTTTTTTTTTTTTTAGTAGGTGCAAAAAAATTGTGGATATTTAAGTCAATTACAAAACTGGGGTTTTTTTCTAGCTACAAAAGCTGATGCTTAGTGCTGTGTAACTATTTAACAGTCTTGTGCTTGACTTCAGGGAACACCTGGCGACTCTCCTTCTCACATATTGAAAAGGATATGATAAAGAACCATGGCAACTCAAAGACATGCTGTGAATCCAATGGACCAAAGTGCTGTAGGTTGGTATTTCACAGGAATATTTTACTTTAAGCCTGTGTGAGCTGAGCTAGCACTAACACTGTTTCAGTTTAGCACTTAAGAATATGATCTAACAGTAATTACTCATAATAGGAAGCAAGAGTCTTTAAGGCATAATTGTTCTGCAGCAATACAACACTGCATGTTCTTGCTGAATGTCTGGCTTGCGTTTACCTAATGAAAGGTGGAAAAAATCACATTGCTGGTTTAGACTCCAGACTTGTTTTAGAATGCAAAAAGATGTGCCTTGTTCAATTATCTTTCCCAAATTCAGTCCTGTTAAAAAAAAAAGCTTTAAAAAGTGATTGACTCCACTTTCTGAGCAAAATTTCCCTCCATATCAAGGCAATTTCTAAAATGATGGTGAGAACACTGCTGAATGAGAGCAAGATGAATAAATGATTTTTCACTTCCATGAGAACTGTTTTCCAGATTTCTTCAACAAGGAAGAACAAAACCCACATGAGATACAAAACCTCCTTAACAAGTAAACCAAGGAGTTGGTTTGCCAATTATGTCTTGTACTGAATCAAGAAAGCAACAAGAGAATTAATGCATAACTGTGTTTAAATATCTGATCTACATATTTAGAACTATGGAGAAGATACCTAATATATATGTATTTTTTTAACAGGAAAGGTTGTCTTAAGCTGCTGAAGTTTCTCCTAGAGCAACTTAAAAGGAAATACCCAAAAGAATTGGAAAAATTCTGTTCCTATCATGTCAAAACTGCTTTTCTCCACTCCTGTGTCATGTGGCCAAATGACACAGACTGGTACTTGGGAAACCTGGATCATTCCTTTCAGCAATGTCTGGGATTTTTTGTGGATTGCCTGCAAAAGTCTCAGCTGACTCACTTTTTTATTCCCCAATACAATTTACTCAGCCAAGAAGATAAGGCAAGACATCATTTCCTTTCAAGAAAAATAAGCTATGAATTGAACAATGGATTCCCAGTATTTCATGAGAATTATTAAGAACACTGTTCACAACAGATATCTAATCACGTTGACTTTACATATGTGAAACAAAAAACTCTGCAATATAAATGACTCTTCAGTAGTCTGTACTACAAAACCCAAAACAAAATAAAATGAAGACCACTAAGAGAAAAACCTATACTTCAGTCACACTGCTTAGGCATAACCCTTAAAAGAAATGTTTTAAGTAATATTTACCTTGCCTTCCCAAATGTAGATGTCGCCTGCAAAACATCGTCAAGGCATACTAAGAACATAGAGAAGAATTTGCAATAGGTAATTTCCCACATGTAATTTCTGTGTTTATAAATACAAAGGCATCAAAGACTGCATAAAGGAGAAACTGACAATTTTATTTAAAATTAGGATCCACTGCAGAATATCCAAAATACACTCCTACTTTCAAAAGAAAAAAAAGTCCCTGGAATTACTTCGACATTAACCAGAAAAACTTCTCCAGATTACCTGGGTGGATATGAAGATCTTTTGCAGAAGACAATCACCAACAATAGTTACCAGAGAGAATTTTACCTGAGTAATATGAAGTTGCTGAAGTAACTTATTCTTTCTGAGTCTTAGAATTACTTTAGAAATCTGTCTTTTCATTGGGCTTTGGATGGGAAACAATCATTACCTAATATGCTGCAACAGAGTGGATGGCTTTCTGCCAATGAGCATTTATTTGTATGATGAATCATGTAGAAAGAAATGCATCTTTCAACCTGTATCAAAGAAGAAGACTCTTGATATAAAAGGTTTCCAAAACCAAAATGCAGCATGAACTGGACACTCCTGAAATTGAAATTCATATCAATTTTTCTCATATCGAAAAAATGTGTGTTAGGAAAAAAAATTTATAATAATTCCTATTACTAAAATCATGCAGGTGAGAAGTACACAGCATTTGAGAACTGCTGTGCTGCAAATAAATACATCTTTTGCTTCTACTTATAGAAGCCATGGGAAGTCCATATTTTTCGCCTACTTTTTGAAGGCAAAATAACCTATTGGATTGAATACTGCCCAGATTTACCTCAATTATGAGCAAATTAAGAGGAAAGAATATTGACAGAGTAATTTTACTAAAATATTCTCATTTTACTGAATTTTGTTTATTACTTTTTATTTATTCATATGACACATAAATTAACACAAGTTCAGACCAAGCATCAAATGCAGGAATGACTCCTTCCCACATAAATTTCAAAAAGTAAAAAAAAAACAACACGCCCCATTATCACTGGGAGTCTGTGTGACAGAACCTGACATCCAAATGTAAATTGTGAATCAATTTTATCTGGAAGCAATAAAAGCTGACCCTCAAATGTATTCTTTTTTCCATGACTTTGTTAACATTGCTCTAGTAAATTCTGGTTTCATTCCTTAAGCGAGAATATTACATCCACAAAAACCAAAAGTGGGTTTTTTTCCCCAGTTAGCCACAAACAAGTACTTTCTGTCATGTTCTCCTCCATTACAGGAAAATGCAGACCTCTCTCAAAAAATCTTGAGACACAAGTCTTAACAAAAATTACTACCAATGTTAAGTTTTAAAATAAGAACAAAGAAAACTTGCTTTAGCAAACATAAGGAACAGCAAACAGAGCAGTTTTCATTATCCTGAGAAATCCTGCATGCCAGCAACATATCAAGGCAAAGGTACAGCATTTTGAAACTACATTGACAAACATTGTTTACAATTAATAATCTGGTTGTCTGAATATAAAAGGAAAAATTATCTTTTACATTCTTATATAGCAATACTGCATATAACTAAAAAAAACCCAAACCAACCAACAAAGCCACAATATTTGTTTTTAACCAGTAGACAATGGCTTTAGAAGTTTCATACATCACACAAGAAAAAATTATGTGAAAATAATTTGCAAAACCAGATTTAGTCCTATATAAAGTTACTCCAGTTTTCTAAGACACTTTTGAGAAGTTTGTTTAAATAGGACAGGTACAGAAAACAATCAAACACAAAATGAAACTAATAAATTCAAGCTCATGGAATCTAACACTAATTAAAATCACTTTCTCTGTTTCAGTAGCTTCAAGGGACTACACTTATTTTGAGGGCTTTCTCCAAGGTCTTTGTATATCCTTTTCATTTTCTTTTCTCATTTGTGATTGTTTGTATCTTTCTGCCATTGCCATAAGCTCATCAGGAACTACCTATTAAGAAAGCAGGCAAAAAACCAAGGTGAATTTTAAATAAATCCAAACTTTCAGACTGCTTTATGAAAATGCTATTGATTTTTGTGCTCCCAAACTTGATTTCATTATTTATCCGGCTTCTGTCACTTTGCAGATTATTTTCTGTAAAAATGCAGAGAGAAATCTTTTTACGTAAGATTGCACTGAAATACACTGAAGAGTAATCATCATAGTGTCTCTGGATTTTCAATAATATATCTATACTTGTATCACCATATCTGATGGCAACATATAACCAGCTAATTACAACATTATAGTTCAAACAGAAATGTATCTTTTAGTTATAAGGAGCAGCTGGTAAAAACATCCAGTGCCACTTAAAGGTGATATCATACTATATACATCTACTGAATGTTGATTTGTATTAAATTCCTTATGGAAGTTTTAAGAACCTCTGAAGAGAAACTTTGTGACTTAAAAAAAGTGTTGTCATAGGAATGGTTCTCACATGCTTAGAACAAAGCAAAAAGACAAGGAAAGAGGGGCAGGAGAAAATGGTCAGATCTCCCACCACTGGGAGGTTGTAAGAGCACCTTACCAAGGTCCACAGGATTTTTTGGCATGTTTGTAATTATGTGGAAAAGGTGAATAGTATCATCAAAACACTCTCACCTCAGAGTTCTTAACAACTGAAGCCAGATGTGAAGAATTACAGACAGATTTATTAGTTGAGTGACAGTGATGGAGAAAAAAACCCCAGATACCATTCTTTTGCTCAGAACAAAGGCAGTATCCAACAAGACTTCTTAAACCAGGTTGGGAAACATGCTGACATTAATGCAATGTTTACTGCAAAAAGCACAGCGGGCAACTGTACTGTCAAGAGGTCTTGGATCACTGATCTGTCAAAGCCAGCCCACTTCAGCAATCTGCAATGGCACGTGGCTGTCAGTGGAAGTCACCCCTCCAGAATCAGTTTCCTGATCAGAGCAAAGGGCACTGTGTGAATATGCTATTAATGTGATTGCTCTGTGTCATTTGTGTCTGCCAGTGGCATAAATACAGTGCAAACAGCAGAGTACAAACAAATGTAAATATCTTAAAGTCTCCCTAAACGTGCTTGGGTTTGGCAGTGCTTGAACAGGTGGAGAACGCAGCCTGGACAAAAGGTCTGGTGGAGCAGGAAGTCACATTCCTCTAGTTTCCATTTCTTTTGTCAGGCTTTCTAATTGAGCAATGCTTGCTATTTGCTATCAGCAACTTTTTCTTGAGCTAGCATGAGGGCCAGCTCACTAGAATATGTTTTATATGCTGAATTGCTCTTACTGGTAAGCAACTATCCTGGAAAAATATGACAACTCCGGAAGAGTCAATTCTGCCTAAGTTTCAAACATTATTTAAAAATAAAGTTAATGTATCTCTAGCTGAAAGGCACAACAGGCTTATCAATGGAGATAGAAGTAATGAGACAAAGTTATTTTTCAGTTGAAACATGGGATGATTTTCTTCCTCAGTATCCCCTAGAGCTTGAAGCATAATTTATTCCAAACTAAAATCACAACAATTTCTTGCAAGAGTGGTTTTTGAGCAAGCACAAGTCAAGAGCAGGAAGAAGTGAGGATATAGAAACATAAAAATCTCAGTGAGGTAATATCCAGCCAGCATCTAGTGGCTTGTTGAAATTTTTATGAAAAATCTGTGTATCTGCTAAACATATAAGCTAGGTGAGGCTCATTCAAGTGAGAAAAGGATAAAGATGCCATAATTCACATGGAATGCTTTTCTTGGTATCACAGAGATTACTGTTTTTCCCTTAAATCTGTCCATGCTTGTTAATTAGCATTTATACGTAAAAGATTCCTTCAGCATGAAATAGGCACCTTTTTGTTGTACTTGTTTTTCTTCATATATCTGTAGATTCAAAATCACAGAGAACATTTGGCTAACAAAAGCAACTAACTTGTTTCGAAATCAAAGTATTCTGAGCCTTCAGTTCTCTCCTACTTTTACATAATGCTTCAAGACTGAAACAATGGTATTTCCATTTGTCATGAGAAAAAACCCCAACACTTTGTCTGTAGGGATACTTCCTTTCTATCAGACATAACTAAGTTTGAGAATAATGTTATGACTAACAGTAACTTCTGAAATCAAGGATTCAGAGTTCCTCTTTTCTCCTCTGAACGTAGACTTGCTCCCAGTTGAACTATCACACATTACAAAATACACAACCAGTTTGGGAACTTTGCAGCCTGCAGCTGGAGACAAGACTTGAAAGGTAAACATAAACTCAGAATAAAAAACTCAAGGCACCTCTAAAGTAGCTTCACAGTATCATTACTGGTTTCACCTCTTGTTTTCTGAATAAAAACAAAGCAAAAAACCCCCACCCCAACCAAAAACCTCAAATCTGCAACTTTAAGGAATTATTAGGTGACTACTCTTCTACATCTTTTTTTTCTCCTTTCCCCCCTCAAAAGCATCTTACTAGGCTTGCAATAAAGCAACATAGTATCCTTCAAAAAAGAGTTACAAAACAGAAGATTGAGGCGAAGTTCTAACCCAGGGTTTAAAGTCTGAGTAACTGTCTATAGTAAAAACCACAGATTCTAGATAAAATTCATTTAGTATGTACTCAAACTCCCATCCAAAAATCCAAACAAACAAACACTGTAACCCAAACAAACAACACTTCAGCTCAAGTGAGGACTTGAACTGGGGGTTTACTATAAATCAGGCAAAATGTTGTTCTTTGTTACAGCAAAAAACAGTAACACAATTATCTGTTTTCTCAGATATGGTATCAAGAAAAAATATGCTTCTTTAAAGAAAGAGATCACATTCCAGTTCCACTTCACATACTATTTACAAGCATCAGTAATAAAGCTTGGAAAAGTACGTGCAGGCGTCACAACTGTCAGATACAATAAACAGATAAGACAGTTGAGCTTCTTCTGATTACAAGTATTGTTAATATTTAGACCGTTAAACAAGAAATTGGTACATGCATCCAAAAGTGAAATACAAATGGAATAAAATTTTATGAAATAAAATAAACCCTATTATTTCTCTGCAGACCTCAATGTGTATGTTAAGTTACTTTTTCTTTAGACATAGCAGGCTTTGGTTAAAGTTCACAGTTCCTTCCTGGGACTCATTTGTAAAGTAAAATACAGCTAAGGCTATCTAGGAAAAGACAGACTAAAATATCCATTTTCTTTCCCTGAGACACCACAAACACTCACCAAGAAGGGTCTAAATAATCTTAGACCTCCACAACATGCTTCAGGTGCTAACCCAGAACCAATATAAATCTTACCCAGTAATGTATGCTTACTTGGTTTGCTCTTTCCAGAATGTCAGCCAGCTCGGACGCAAACCTCCAATCATTGCTCGTGACAAGTGTAACTGCCTCCCCAGAGCGCCTAAACGAGGAAGGAAACAACTGCTGATCCTCCAAACAACTCTGACCTAGGCAGTAATGAACTGCACCACAGGCAATATTACTGAGCTGATACAATAAAAGTGGCCTGAGCATTAACCCTGCACATGCTTTTCATAAAAATCAATACAGCAATTCACCTAAAATGGAGGAAATGCACAACTAATTCAGATTTTAGATAATAAACATAGCATAATGGCAACATGTTTAAGTATGAAGAGACACACATTCCTATCATGATTAAATGAGAAAAATCACACTTGTACTAGCCTGGGAAAGCAGCATCCAAAAGACCTACCACTAAACTACACCACCACGATCGTCTGCAGATTTTGAACCTACAGATGCTTCTTCCCAATGCGCGGTCTAGAAACTAAATAAATCGGCAGCTCACAAAGGGATAAACAAGGAAGTAACATTCCAGAATATCAATGCAAATTGTTTCTCTAATTCTTCCTCATA